CTGATGTTCGCCTGATATATATTTCCCCCCTGTGAGAGATCCCATGTGAAAAAGACGAGAGATGATCCTGCAAACCTCGTGCATCACAAAACATCTCTTCCTGCACCCCACTCGCTTCAGCTCTGGGTTACTCTGGTGCAGTTACACAAAGCCCCAGTGATAAAATGTCGGCAACTGGAAGCTCATCTCAGAACAAGAAAGCAGCATCTTCAGTACAGCTGGGGAGAAAACAATTCTCTCATCCCACAAGGATTTCAAAAATAAACTCTGATAAATTTTCATGAGCTCACCCCCCAGTTGTTATTAGATTTGATCTGAGGTGTTTTATTTCAATATAAAAATAATTTAACAAGCTAATTTTTCTTACGGTTTACAAACATAAATTAGACTAATTTCTAAATGATACTGCTTAGACCTGAAACCAGAACCTTTTCCATTTTGAAAATTTTAAAAGGCAGTGATTTAACAGCTAATCCCAGCTAACTTCAATTCCTGGCATTAGCTGAAAACAGAAAGACAGAAGAAAGTCTACCTGCATTATCCATTGACATCTATCCTACGGTAATAGAGGCTACAACTTATCCCATTCCTTCTGGATACAGTTTTCAACAGAAAATGGGCAGTCCTAACAGAGGAATACTGTCAGGATTGGGGAATGGTAGTTCTGTCTCAACAAACTTGTTAACATGAGAGATTCTCCACTTGGGTGGAGATGCAGTGACGCCTAAACATTTGGTGAGGTCTTTTGCATCTAGGAATGCAGTACGGAGCAGGTGTGATTTAAAGCAAAAACTCATCAAGTTCATGGACAAGCATTTGTCCAGTCCCATGTAAACATCAGTTCTCTCATCTAAGCACAAACCCAAGCATGAGAAATTGTGTACACAAGCTTTGATCTGCTATTCAATCAGCACTCACAAGCTGCAGATAAGATATAATTCTGTACATACATACATACGGTAAAACTCATTCTTAACCAAAGAGCCAGTTGACATGCTTCAACTTAAATCCAAAGCTTTAATGCAACATACAGGCTCTACGCCAACTTCCGCTACAATTATTATCTACGGTGCGATTTCTCGTCTGCTTTTTCTGACACATTTTCACACATGGACCACAAGCTTACCTGGTCCTAGCTTAGAAACTGCATAAAGGAGGTCATAGTTGATGACAGGTGTTGCATCATCTATTGGTTGCCACCCTACAGGTGGGGAGGCTGGAGGCGAGATGAGAAACTGTTTTGCAGGCTGTGGTGGTGCCAAATGAAGCTTGTCTCCATCTGTCTCAGAGGTCTGAATCTTTAAAGCATAACGAATACATTGTTTAGTACAGGATGGGTAAATGGAATGATTACTCAAATCATACACTTCTAATACCAAATGCCACCCAGGCAGGGTTTCAGCGTCAGTCTCAGCAGAGGAGGCCTGGAGATGAAATTCATCTCAACCTTACAGATGGTTCCTCTACAGTAAATACACTGTGGGGGGCTGTAGTATGAGCAAAGCTACAGTGTTTGTGCCTACTGTATATGTCCTCCGAGGACAAATGCAAAGCTTTGGTATCCGCAGCTGCTAGTTCAGAGATTTTTGAGGCTGAAAAGATATTGTTGTGCTCTACTGGCCTAAACTCCTCAATAAAAACGAACATTAGACAAGAAGCCAGTAACTCCTGCACCAAGGCCTTCAGAAAGGTTTCTCAATATTTGATTTCTTTAGCTGAAGTGATAAAGGAATCTATCATGTTCCTTAGTCATTTGCAACTAACTGTTCTCATTTTATTTCCATCTTAAATTATCTAGTTTAACTCCTGCTTTTCCTCTGGTATATTAAAGAAGCCTCAACATAAATGAATTATGCTACAGCTATACTTGAGCACGTTTCCAACCAGCTCGGGCCCAGAAGCAATAAACTGCATTTGCATGACAGGAAGCCTGAGCCAGCTCCCTGCTATACTGGAATGGGTTCTGCAAAGAGCCAGTTTGGGTCTCTCAACTCTGTGTTTTCCAGAACAGTTTTCAGTTCTGGAAGTGCTTATTCAGTCTGGCTCAGGCCCATATAAATATACCCTGCTCCAGACACTGTGCTGCTTCCACACACTCGTTCCCTGGACAAAACTAATAAGCTCTTTTAAGACTGCATGTACTGGAGAGCATAGTGCAGATACCTAAGTGGCTTTGTGGGAAATCAGCTTAGATATGGAGACTAATCACTATTCTGCTTTTTTTTCTTGTGTTATCCCAAGTTTTCAATTAACCTCTTGATCGTGCAGTTAGACTGAAATGATTCTCAGATCTGCTTAAGAGCAGGTTTTGAAACCTTTCAGAAAAAAATCGGAGCCAGATCTACAAGATTAAGGCATATAAAATGGGATTGAGGTAGATTTTCAACACTTAAATCCAACTGTAAGATCTTCTGAACTCATCTAACCTGTTAAGCGTATTAGGTTGTTTTTTGGTTGGGATTTTTTTTTTTTTTCTCACAACCATAGTTTCCCATCCTCCTGAGGTTCTGCTCCTGCCTAGGCTCAAAACAGCTCCCATTCTAACCAGGCTGTAGAGGCTTAAAATTTAACTGTCTCTTAGGTTTGATTGATCCCTTCCAATGAGCCTGCCCTTAACCTAAGACCTCTGAAGGACCAGTCTGGCAGCTCAAAGCGCACTTACATTGCTCATAAGCACTAGTGAGTATCCCATAAGCCACAGTAGCCACAGAAGCTTATTAAAATATCTTGAGAAGAGATGGTGGTTGGGCTCTCAACCTCCCTCACCTTTCCATACCCTGGCTGGGGCCAAGTACTCACCCAGGCTGTGGGAGATGTGGGTTCTCTCTCCCTTGGCCAAGAAAAATTGAACCCTGATCTGACACTTCCAACAGATGGATATAATCACCTATGCCTGTAGGCTGGGGGTTTTCTTCTCCCCTTACCTTCTCCCTTTTACTTGAACTTAATAAATTCCTTTTAAAAAATTCACACATGTATTCAGTAAGGGGGTAAAAAAAAAGGCAGGAGGAAGCCTGACTGTGGCTCAGGGTTGCAGTCAAATAAGTAATTCAGCCCTATGGTTTTTACGATACTTTACATTACTGGGTTTTTTATGGTTCGTTTAGAGAGTTAGCCACAGAAAATACCCAATGTTGTAAATCAGTTCTAAGCTATGTAACTTTTGTATGTTGAATAAGTGGTCCTTTAAATTTACTGCAGACCCACTGGGCAGGTACAGCTCAGGCAACATAAGGATGTTTGAGTAATCTTTTAGCAGAGAGACTGGGCATGGGAGAAACCTTTATTACTTTTATCCAGTGTTACTGCGGAGTATTTCTATAAAAGCTATGCACTAACATAGAAGTAGATTCCAGATTTCATTACCTGTGCAAAATACAACTTTAACTTCTTCCCTCTGAACTGTGTTTCATGCAGCTCTATTCTGGCACGAGCAGCTGATTTGGGACTACTAAAATTTATCCGCACACGCCTGAAGCTTTTAAACAGCTGGAATGTCACGCAGTCATCATAGGCACGGAACAAGCCTTCAAATTTTTCCTGCAAATGAAAAAGAAATAATGCTGAAGATTGTGCTTTGTGCTTGGTCACATCACTCTGTGTCAAAGGATTATCTGAAACTTAACGACTGTTTAACCAGGAGGTTTCACCCTGTGGCCTTTGGGGGTGGATGTCCATAGACTGGTATAGGCTCTGTGAAAAGACACTAAGGAAAAGCACTGGTCTGGAAGTGCTGAACTCTGCAAAATGTTTGGGGGAAGGAGTCTTCAAATTGAGAACCCAGCAGCTATTGACCTTCTCGTAAAAGTTGAGCAGAATTGCGATAATGACTTACGAAATGAAGCTGAAAAGGGCATATGACTGAAAATACCAGACAACCGTGGTCTCATCTGTACAAAAGCAAACATTGTGCTGAATTACAATGGAGTCAGCAGACAAAGTCAGGCCCACTGAAATGGAGGATTACATTCACATCAAGACTGCAGGGCCACTTTGTATTGCATATTACGTTTTTCTGGATGTTTTACCATTTAAATACTTAGCGCAGATATACACTCATTTCTTGAGAGTTCCTGTAGCAGCAGGGAAAAAAAATGAGGTAACTGAAAATAGAGACCTGTCCCAAAGACAAATTTCAGGCTTAAAAATACTTAGCTGTCAAACTCCATGTCCAGAAGCACATGGCACAAATATTTATATTTTAACATTGGAAAGGAAGGGTCTGAAATGTACCACATCTATGGACCTAGAGATGAAGAGAAACTCAAGGTTTGTTCGCAGCCCTGGAGGATCAGAGTCTCTGCAATTTCTCTGTAAACTATGTGCACACAGAGGACTAGCTCCATACCATCAAATAAAACCAAAGTCCTTAAATCAATTCTGACACACCTGCACAGGTCTTTTCGCTCACACAAGCAGGGATTCATAAAATGTTAAGACTGAGAGGGAGCAGTTATCATTTAGTCTAGCCTTTGTGTTTACTCAGATTTGAGACTGCCATCCAGTGAGTCTCACATAAAGTCTTAGCATTTTAACTACTACAGCCGAGACTTGAAGTCTTAGAAGATGGAGAATCAACCAGAGTAAAGCCCCTTCGTCTAAGAGTTCTTTATCCTGAAAAAACAGTGTTTGAGATGATTGGCCACACCATTTCACACTCTGAGGGCTATGTCAGGTGTTTGTATAATTACAATAACCTGACATTTTCTTTGATATATGGGCAAGTAAGCATGTTTTCACATGTTTTAAAATATAACTTCTTTCCTTCTCATCCAGGAAAACAATCATCCCTCTAAGGGATAATATCCCTCTAAGGGATTCTTATCCCTTAGAGGGATATTATCCCTTAGAGGGATGACTGGCAGAGGCTGCAGAAGATGAAACAGAAAATGCAATTTATGTAATCCCATCAATACTTCAGTTCTCATCTGTTGATCTTACAAGTAAGAGAAAGAATCCAGAATTTAGAAAAATATATCCCGAAGCACAGTGAAGCTGCATCAGGGAGCACTGGTAGCACTGTGGGAGCGCCTCCTGTCAGCGTGATACATTTGTTCAAGAGTTAACTAGGAAAACAGGCCAGTTTTGTGGCAAGGAGTATGAAACAGTAACACGCATGTACCAGATCTCCTTTCATTCACTGCCAACTCTGTGGTCTTCTTCCCCATAACTGATATTCCATCTCTGGCACCCTTTCAAAGGAACCTCCCTGTGGTCTATTAAGCTTTCATGATTTTCATTTCATTTCGCCTGACCTCACTCACCTCTTCCTCTCACCACAGGAGACACCTTGGAGGAATAAAAAAAAAATAAAAAAGAAAAAGAAAAAGTGAGGAGAGAGCTCAGTGGTTTGGTTGAGGGTGAATAAAGGCAGGCAGCAATCCCACAAACAGCGTGAGGTTGATAGGTTTGTACAGGCGGGTCTAGTCATACCACCTAACGTTCACATTGTCAACATTTCACACCTAAGTTATATTTTTTAACTGCTTTGCTTACAATTTTGCAAAATTCCATTTTCCTGAGCAGAAGTCTACATCCAGTGACATTTGTATAAAGGTCAGCCAAAAGCAGCAGTCATCTCAGTCCTGTCCTGCTTGGAATTTTGATGCTACAACCTTCACAATGACCAGGGGAAGAGGCCTGGGGGAAGGGACGAAAAGGGACAGGGGAGCAGCGTAGGCATAAAGTAGGACTTATGCAGCATTCAGAAATATGCAGTCCCAGTACTGTGTATAACCTAAATAAAAGATAATAGTGACCAATTAAAGCGGATGTCTTTATGTTACCTATATTACCTATTTCAGACTTCATCAGTATTGTTTTTAAAAAGCACCTTGAAGTCAACAAACAAATATATATAGCAGATATCAAGGTATTTATATTTTTCTATATATACATACATATATGAGATGATCAAGGTATTAAAATAGAAGTCACATAAGCTAAAAATAAGCAGCATGGTGAATAATTTCCTGGTCCCCTGTAGGACCTCTCAGTGTCCCTACAAGTCAACAATAAAATAATTCATCATATTAAAAATATAAAACTCACCAGCTGTGGAAGAAACCACGCATGGACTTGTCTGGACACTGGGAAGTAAGTATCTGTTACGAATGACTATTTATTAGGGAACAGATTCTCCCCGTATGGACCCAGCAGTATTTTCTTGCATTGGCCAGCCCTGCGCGCCTGTCCTATGTACGCAGCATATATGACAACCCAGAACCTCGATCCTGGTTAGGGGCACAACGCAGATGAAGGGAGGATGAGATTTCACACGTGGGTCCAAGAGCAGTGAGCACAAGGGCTGTTCTGGGCACACTTCTGGACAATACTGAGATATGCTCTCATTAGGCACAGACAGGGACAGATGGGAGTATCTCTAAATAAAGCTGATTAAGTTCTGGACGCCAAATGTAATACTGGGAGAACATTAAAGCGCTATGGACTTCATTCTGCTTACTTCTCAATTTGATACTGGCGCAGCTTTAGAGATCCAGCTTTGATTAACGCTCCTAAAAATGCCATAGGGAGGAGGGAAATCAAGCCCTCTACTTGATGTTAATACAGGGCAGTCTATCCACCGCGGGGACACATCTACTGCACCAACTGAAACTGCGTCTCCCCTTAAAAAGATTCATACATGTGAATTTTTCTACATTTTCAGCTGATAATAATAATGACCTCAGCAGAGGTCATTAATCATCAACTGCAGTTAATGGCCCTCAGCTGCATCTTGAGCCATCCCAACTCCTCCCAGCTTGGTATTAATTCCCAGGAAACGCCTTATGCCTTAATTGCTATTGGCTTTGACTTCTAATATCTGCTGAATGTACTTATCTGGTTAAAAGTCTTTCAGAGGCTTCCCAATCTATAAGAAAATGTATCATATACATTTTAAAGACCTAAGCAAATTCTCTCCCTTTAAAGTTTTGTGGATAAATTATTCAGGACTCATAATCCTCTCAATTCAGGACCTTTAAAACACTTTTAGGATTCAGTATTTTTAAGATGCTTTTAGAAAGTTAGTCTTTAAACTTTCAAGATACTTTGAAAACTCTTGAAAAAAATAAATAAAGGAACGTCTGAAGTTAAGCAGCAGTGTTGCTACTTCTAAAAACTCAAAATGCAGAAAGTCCTGAGTGATTCATTGATTTCTGTGATTTTTGGCATGTCTTCATCCATTCCAACTATGTCTCTGTGAGACCTAATTAATGCGCTGGCAAATGTGAGTAGCCTTCATTGGACCGATACTGCAGAAGTTCTCACTTCTCCATCGTGGGCTCCGTGCCCTCGCTCCATCTCCCTATTCCATTGCCCAACTGGGCACCTTTCCCCGGTTCTTTCCTGTCACCTTCCCATCACTCATCATTCACCACCTCTAGCAGTTTCTAGAGTTGGTTGAGTTTTCTTTAATTAACAAAATCAGCACAAAGTAGGAACATACTAATTAAGACTGCTGATTACTCAAGTTTGATTGTTATCATTTATGACAGCCGGTGCAGAGGACAAACAGAGCACCATGCAAGGAAGAAATAAGCACTGGAGTAACAGACACCAGCTAAAAAACTCAAGAGTACGAGGGCACAGAGATGCTCTCCTGGACTAAAAACTATTACTACTACTGAATGGGAGCACATGGGAACCGAGATCCTGTAAGTCACACCATAAAAGGGATTAGTGAAATGCAGCCATGAGGAGGCAAGCAAAATACTGGATGTATCTGGCAAAGTATTTCCCGTAAAGCAAGGAAAGTATTAACAACATTATATAGAGCACCATTACACTTCATTAAAAATGCAGTTTTTGTTGCCTGTACCCCAGATAGATTAAGCAAAATGGGAATAAGTTCAGATAAAGGCTACAGGGAAAGAACAACTTACTGAATAAGAAATGAAAATGTTTGGCTTATTTAGCAAAACAAAGCAAAGCCTGAGAGGAGATGGGACAATCATCAGAACAATGGGACAATTACCAGAACTGTATTCTATACAGACTAGAAGACTACGTTTGCATAAAACAAGTGAAAACAATTGGCATAAATAGGTTTAGGCTAGAAGTTAAAGAAGGTTCCAAACGTCAGAGTAATGATCCAGAAACAACCTTCCAGTTACAGCAGCAGTGGCAAATGATTTTTTTTTAAGATTGAATTTGGTTAGTTCATGCGAGGGACTATAACAAAGTATCAACACAACAAGCACTGTAAAACACGACTGCCTGAATTAGCAAGTGAATTGGGTTCCGACACAGCAAGTTCCTTCCAGTTCTGTGTTCCTGTGATTTATTTCCAAACATTTCTCTCATGAATAGCTCCACTGGCATTGTGTTCATTCAGGACAAAAGCCAAGGCCTAATTCAAATCAATGGAAGTCTTTCCACAGACATCAGTGAGCTTTGGATTACAGCCCTAGAACTCAGAACACAAATTAACATTTTATTATTCAGCCTGTTTACACTCATTATCACCCTTGTTACACATTTGATTTAGGAGATGGCTGCGATTTGAAACTTTACTCTAATCCTTTTTCCTAGAGTTTTGT